CCTCTAAGAGGGAGCTGACATCTGGCATCCCACAGGGCGCCATACTGTCTCCCATTCTGTTTAACATTTACATGAAGCCACTGGGAGAGATCATCTGGAGATACGGGGCATGGAGTTATCAATATGCTGATGACACCCAATTATATTTCTCTATGTCTCCGACTGCTGTGGTGACTAAGGATGGCATCTCTCCTCTGGATGCCTGCCTTGGGTCGGTAATGGGCTGGATGAGGGAAAACAAACTCAGGCTGAATCCAGAGAAAACAGAGGTACTCGCGATAGGTACCCCTGGTCCAGGGAGGGAGTTTTGTCAACCAGTCCTTGATGGGGTCACACTTCCCCTGAAGGACAAAGTGCGCAGTTTGGTAGTACTCCTGGACTAATCTTTACAGTTGTCATTCCAGGTGAATGCGGCGGCCAGGAGTGCTTGGAATCAACTTCGGTTGATTTGCCAACTGCGCCCCTACCTGGACTAAAAGGACCTTGAAGCAGTAGTACTTGCCCTGGTAATCTCTCGTTTGGACTTCTGTAACACCCTCTACATGGGGCTAACTTTGTACCAAGTTCTGAAACTTCAATTAGTTCAAAATGCAGCAGCCAGGTTGGTCACCGGTACATCTGGGCGGACCATATTACACCTGTGTTGAAAGCTCTTCATTGGCTGCCAATTAGTTTCTGGGCGCAATACAAAGTGTTGGTCGCTACCTTTAAAGCCCTACATAACTTGGGGTCTGAGTTACTTAAAGGAACGCCTCTCCCTACATAATCCACCCCACACTCTCAGAACATCAGGGAAGTATTTGTTGGAATATTATAACACTAGATTAAAGGTAACTTCCCAGAGATCACTCACAGCAGCAACTCCTAAGCTATGGAATAGCCTGCCGGAGGAGATCCGTCTTATTAATACACTAGAAGCCTCTAAGAAGGTGCTTAAGATGGAGATCTTCCAGCGGGCTTACCCACCTGACCTTCCTAATTTGTAAAAAACAAATTGTTTTATCATTATGACCTCCTGGATGCATGAAGATGATGACCAATCAGTTTACCGGATAGGGTATTGGTTTTAATTATAGGGATTATAGGGTTTTACTGTTGGGGGGCTATTGTTGATATGATTTTATTATATATTTTATGTTCTGTATTTTTATATTACTTGTAATCCTTCTTTGATCTGCAGGGAGACGTGGGAAAATAATAATAATAATAATAATAATAATAATAATAATAATAATAATAATAATAATGCTTCTCGTAGTGCTCTAATATATCTAACACATATTGAATATTATCTTTTAGATGCCTATATGGTAAGAAACCTGCTTGATCTGTGTGTATCCAGTCTTTTAATACTCTTTAAAATCTCTCTGCTAATATAATCATAAAAAATTCATAATCAATATTTAAGAGTGATATTTGATGATTTTTTTTTAACTTCCATAGGGTCTTGATTTTCTTTTAATATTAATGTTATATTCGCATATTTCCATGTTTTTGGAAATCAATCTTCCCTTATTGTATTTAAAGTTTGTTTTAATGAAAGTACTAGTTGCTCTTCAAATAATTTATAGTAGTTAAAGGTGAATTCATCTGGCCCAGGTGCTGAGTCTTTCTTGCTCTTTCAAATAGCTTGTGATATTTACTATCATTATTGATTGATTGGTTTAGAGTATTCTTTTGTTGCCCCAACAGATTGTGTGTCTTGATTTTCTTTAAGAAATCATTTGAGTTGTCCTTATCCAAATTATTCCCCTTGTAAATTTTTGCAAAGTAATTTTGAAATACTTTCTTAATCTTTAGTTGTTCTATTACTATTTGTGGCCTGTCCCTTATTTTTATGATGTTGTTCCACTCTTTCATCTTTCTCACTTTATAAGATAGATATCTTTCAACTTTATTGGAGTGTTTGAAGCATTTCTGTTTCACATGTCTTATTTTATTCAGAATTTCTTCCATTTCTTCCATTTCTATTGTTTTTTAAGTGTTTTGATTTCTTTCACTGTTGTTGTGTTAGAGAGATTTTCTTGAAGTTTTTTCTCCTTGTCATTCAGTAATTTATATATTTTTTGCAATTTTTCTTCTTTTTTTGAACTTCAAAGTTTTATTGGATGAAGAATCTGTGCGTAACAGCTTTTGATGCTTCCCACATCATCCTTACATCTGCCCCCTTTTTAAAATTTTCTTCAAAATATAATTTTGGTGCATTCTTGGCTTTTTGCACAATCTTCTCACTTTGTAACAAGTTTTCATTTAGTCTCCAGTTACATTCTTTAGGTTTCTTTTTCCATGTAAGAGTTATAGAGTTAGGATCTGATGGTAAAATGTCCATTCTACCAATGTTTTTACAGAGTGATTTATAGGCCAGGAACATATCAATCCTTGAATAGGACATATGCCTTTCCGAGACGTGTGTGCATTCTTTTGCTTTGTTGTATTTATATCTCCAAACATCTGTCACTGATAGAACTTCTAATAGTTGTGTGAAAGTTTTGGGGAGTTTCCCTTGTTTCTTCTTTATCTGCTTTGCTGTCCATTTCTGGATTGATTACTCAGTTCCAATCTTCTAAGAGTAGTGTATTTTCATAACTATATTCCACAATTATCTTTGCCAAGTTTTGATAGAATATATATTTTCTTTCTAAAGGTGCATAGATGCTGACTGTTAAGTATTTTGTGTCTTGAATTTTAACTTCTAAACTGATATAGTGGCCATTATTGTCTTTAAATAGCATATCTGTTTTATATTGTGGATTTATATAGATAACTACTCCTTTCTTAATTTTTTTTTCCGGCTGCTGATATGTATTCATTACCTAGTTTCTTATTTTGCATTACCTTTATGTATTTTTGCTTTATATGTGTTTCTTGGAGTCATATTCAGTGAAATCTTTTTTTCCTAGAAAGTGAAACACATTCCACATTTTTTGGGGGTGCATTTAGTCCTCTTACTTTCCAGGATATACTTTAACTTGCATCTTCTTCTTTCTTTCTTTCTTCCTTTCTTTTACTTCACATCTATAAGGTTTCTGATACTTCTTTATCTGACTTTCCCTTCCCTTCTTCCTCTTCACCTTTGTCTTCATCTCTATTTATTTCTGGACCACCTTCTTCTTTTTTGTTCTCTTCTCTTACCCTTTCTTCTTGGGATAAATTGTTCTCTTTTCCAAAGTTTCCTTGTATTTTTTCATTAATTTTTCATTAGCTGTTGTGTTTATTGTAAAGATTTTCTGTCGGTTTTTAAAGAAAATGCCTTCTAGTTTTTCCAACCTATATATATGTTATTTTGTTTTAGAAGTACGGTCAGCATTTTGTATTCTCTTCTCCCTTTTAGTATTCATATCAGGATATCCTTATAGATCAATATTTCCTCTTGTTCAATCTCTAACTTCTGCTCATAATTTAGTTGCAGTATTTGATCTCTTGTTTTTTTTTTTTCCTGGTGAAGTAGATCACTGTATTTCTAGGTAGTTTTTTGTTTGTTTGGCTATTCTGGAATTTATCCTGTAGATCTTATCTATTTCCCATTGGAATATTCAGCATTTGCTCCTACAAATTCCACTAGGATTGGTGTTAAATAATCATACAAAATTTTCATTTTCTTGCTTTTTAAGCCTTTTATTTTTAAATAGTTTTCCCTTTGTTTGAGCTCTTGTAATGCTCTTTCATCTTGTAAAGCTGCTGTTCATGTGGAGTTTCCATATGGTTCATTCTTTTCTAAGGTATTTGATTTTTCTTCAACTTTCTCTAATCTCTCATCCATTTGTTTCATTCGTTCCATCATTTTTCCAAGTGATTGTTTGATTCTTTTTAATTATTCTTATTTTCATTTCTTCCCTTATTTCTTTTCTCATATCATTCATATCTGCTTTCATTGATTTTATATCCTCTTTCAATTCTAGGTACATAGATTTTTGTTCTTCCAATGTTGCCATTTGTTCTACTGCTTTTGGGTTCTGTTCAATTGAAGATTGTCTTTATTGTTGTAATGTTTTCTGAGCTGCTGCTGCTGCCTTTTCTTACTCCCATAGCCATTATTTTTTCTTCTTCTTCCTTATTTCTTTATATGTGGATTTACTATTCTTTACTCTCCTTCCCTTTTATGGACATTAATTTGTTGCTTTAATATTGGTGTGTTTGAGTTTGTAAGTTAGTATTCTATTTCTATTATCTTAAATTTCATTTACAAATATTTGAATTCCTTTAGCAGATCAATTTGTAAAGCCAACTCTTCTTGCTTTGCCCCCCTAAAATAATACATTCCAGTAAGAATCACAATTCATTAATGACAAATCAATTATCTTAAAGTCTGTTAATTCAATTAATTTACAAAAATGTTTAACCTATCTATATTTATATCTATATCTAGATATCTTATACTACTGTAAGATGATCAATTACTTTATTTTCTGGCATATAAGGTGACTTTTTAGCCCTGGAAAAGGGTCTCAAAAGTTAGGGTTTGTCTTATACGCTGGGTAGAGAAGGAAGACAACAACAATGAGGCAAAGGAGAAGGGGAGGGAAGCCCCTGGGAAGAGACAGAGGGCAGAGAGGATGAGGCAAAGGAGAAGGAGAGGGAAGTCCCTGGGAAGAGACAGAGGGCAGAGAGGATGAGGTAAAGGAGAAGGAGAGGGAAGCCCATGGGAAGAGACGGAGGGCAGAAGATGAGGCAAAGGAGAAGGAGAGGGAAGCCTTTGGGAAGAAATGGAGGGCAGAGAGGATGAGGCAAAGGAGAAGGAGAGGGAAGCCCTTGGGAAAAGGAAGAGGAGAAGCACAAGGATAGAGGCACAAGGTGGGAAGAGAAGGAAGTCAGATGAGAGGAGGATGATGAGCATGAGGAGAAGGAGAAGGTGAAGGAATCCAAGTGAGAGGAGTAGGAGGAAGAGAACCCTAAGGCGATCCTCTCCTGGGGTTTTCTTTGCAAGACTGGTGCAGAGGAGGTTTGCCATTGCCTTCCCCTGAGGCTGAGAGTGCGTGACTTGTCCAAGTTCACCCAGTGGGTTTCATGGCAGTGGGAATCAAACCCAGGTCTCCAGAGTGGTAGTCCAACACTCAAACCACTACACCATGCTGGATCCTATTCCCATGTAGAAACAATTGCAGACTTTTTTTGTTTTTCTTGTGTGTCTTCAAGTCCTTTCTGACTTATGGCGATCTGAAGGCAACCTTATCATGGGGTTTTCTTGGCATGTTTCTTCAAATGGGGGTTGCCATTACCATCCTTTGAGGCTGAGTGTGTGACATGCCCAGGGTCACTTACTTGTCTGCAAATTGTCCATACCCCAGAATGCATCACCTAGTATATTGGCAGTCCTTTCTCCCAATATTTTCTTATTTTCCCCCAACCCCATTATTTCAATCTGGACTATTTTTTAAAAAGTAAGGTCCAAAACACAGTGCAGAAATAAATGCTAGGGAACATGGGAGCTGTAGTTTGTTGTGTTTATAAGTGACAGTTTTCCTTCTAAGTACCTGCCTGCCATAAGCATTTGAATTAAAATTACCATATTGAAATGAAAATTGATTTTTAAAATTTTTTAATTGGTGCGAGTTGGAACAGGGGTCATCTTATACTGCGACTATATCCCAAGCTCTATATTTTAACTGGTAAAGTTGGGGGTCTTATACGGCGAGTATATCCCAGGCTCTATATTTTAACTGGAAAAGTTGGGGGTTGTCTTATACGCCCAGTTGTCTTATACGCTGGAAAATATGGTAATTAACACTTAATCAAATTAACACTTGAGAATCACAGTGTCTACTATTAATTGAATTAATTAACTCTCTCTTTTGCTCACAAAGGAAATAAAATCTAAACTTTTACAAATTCCTCATTTAAGTTAAATCAATTATTATAGTAATCTTTTATTTTTGCATCAATTCATCTTATGATCTTTCTATATAAACTTCTATGTAATTGACCGAAAGGTAAATCACATAAATTTCATTTATCTTTTTTTATCTTAATATCTTCTTATGTTCTATATACAGATAATTCATAATATATATTTTCTTCTAGTCTATGGAAATCAATTCTATATAATACTAATTCATGTTTTCTTTATCATAAGAGGTCCAGATAACAAAGTCAAATTCTTGATAGTCTGATTATCAAAAAAGTTTTTTTTACTAATTTCTTATATTTCTTTTAGTCTTTCCTTCTTATTGCCTTCTTATTATATTCTTTTTCAGCAGCTTGTCCTTCTGTCACTTAATAGTCACCTGTCCTGAATCTTTCTACATTTGCCTTTGTTTTCAAAAGTTGTTAGAGTTCTCTTTATGCTATTTTCTCTTTTATCCCACTCTGTTCTACTTTATCCTACCTTCTTTGTCTTTTTAGTTATCTCCTAGAATATTATTTTGAGTCTCAGCTGTATTCTTTCCTTTAGCCTTTACTACATTTTTTCTTTCTCAGATGACTTTAGTTATTGTAGCTTGTTTCTCTCTGCTAAGTCTTTTCAGCTGTCTATCTCTTTCAGTCTCACTCATATGTCAAATTTAGTTATACAAATCTATATAGAAATGAGATATAATTGTTCGAGCTTGGACAGGTAAATTTTAACTAAATAATATTCATGCACAAGGATTAACCACAGTTCTTAAGTGGTTGTTTCCTTTTTTCCACCTTTCTCTTTCTCCACATTGTGTCTCCTCTTCCCCTTCTTCTTTCTGGGCCTCGGCAGACGACTCAATTGAGACGTCTCCGAGGCCCGGAAGAGGAGGGGCCACCGCATGCGCGGCGGCCCTTCCTCTTCCTGAGGTCGCCCTGAACGCTTCCGGGTCACCACACGCCGGACGCGTTCAGGGCGACCTCCCTCCACAGCGTCCGGACGCGCTGTGGAGGATAAGTCGCAAAAAGGGTGCCCGCCGCTTTTAGGGCGCTCTTTTTGCGACTTATGAAAGGAGTGCCTTTTTGGCGCTCCTTTCAGGGCCGCTGGGGAGGCGCCGCGGTGGGGCTGCCATAGCCCCGCGGCGCTCCGGACCGGGGCGTCTCCGACGCCCCAGTCTGCATCCCCCCTCTGTCTCCTATTAGACTTCTTCCCCCTTTTCCCCCTTTCCCTTTGTTCCTATGCAATGGATAGTACAAACAAACAAACTTATATTAGATACTTTCCTTTATTAAATAAAGAATTAAAGAAAGTCTTGGGCTTTTTCAATCTTCAAAAAGCCTTTTCTCTCTTTCTTTCCTTTTCCTCTTTTCCTCTTGGAATTTACTTACTTGTCTTTGCTTTATGGTTTCTGTCTTCTCTCCAGGCTGTAGAATCACTTCTTATAGATAGCTCTCTGTTGCAGTGTCTTGTATGAGTTTACATTCAAATAGTGTTGTTGTTTATTTTTAAAAAGTTGGTGGCAGCTCTATTGCTGACTCATGGCTTTCCACATGCTGCAGGGGTTTACTCTGACCTCTTCTACTTTGCCCACACTCCTTGTTGTTGTTCCTTGTCTGACTCTGGAGGCAGGATACTGGTCTCCAAGAGCCGCTCTGCTTGTCCTGTGCCAGGGACAAGATGTAACCTCTCTAGGGATAACTCCCTGGGGTTTTTTCCCCTCATGTGGCTGGCATCCTCTGAGAGCTACATGGAGATGGCCTATTGAGCTGCCACAGCTAACCAAAAGTCTTAAATAGCATTTGCCTTTCTGAGCATGTCTACTGTTTGTCTCATCAGCTTAGATAGATAGATAGATAGATAGGTAGATAGGTAGATATAGATATATCCTTGCCTTTTGGAAACACGAGGAAGACAACTTGTCCCAACGATCCATGTCCATCTTGGCTGGTTGTTCGGGGGGGGATGCGTTGAAAGTATTCCTACGGGATACAAACAATGCATCCTTCAGGGAAGGTACTGTACTGTGTTTGAAGGAGGCAGCCATCAAGCCACTCCTGAAAAAATCTTCCCTGGACCCCCTCGATAGAAAAAATTATGGACCAGTCTCCTTGCTATTTTTTTAAGCAAGGTGATCAAGAGGGCAGTTGCTTCCCAACTCCAGGCAGTCTTGGATGAAACCGATTATCTTGATCCATTTCAAACTGGCTTCAGGATGGGATATGGAGTGGAGACTGCCATTTTTGCTCTGACCGATGACCTCTGCTTGGACACTGACAGGGGTAGTGTGACCCTGCTGGTGCTCTTGGATCTCTCAGCGGCTTTTGATACAATAGATCATTCCATCCTCTTGGACCATCTGATAGAGTTAGGAATCAGAGGCACTGCTTTGCAGTGGTTCTGTTCCTTCCTCTCGGGCAGATCCCAGAGGGTGAGGCTCGGGGACAGTTGCTCTTCCAAAATAGAGCTTAATTGTGTCATTCCTCAGGGCGCCCTCCTGTCCCTGATGCTATTTAATATCTATATGAAGCCACTGGGTGAGATTATTCAGAGACATGGAGCGCGGTGTCATCAGTACACTGATGACACCCAGATATATTTCTCCATGACTAGATCATTGGCTCAGACTTCAGATGGCATCTCTCCTCTTAATGACTGTCTAAGAGCGGTAATAGATTGGATGAGGAAAAAACAGATTGAAGCTAAATCCAGACAAAATGGAGGTACTGACAGTCACGGGCCCGAAACCATGTTTGGGAATACAGTCTCCAGTCCTGGATGGAGTCACACTCTCCTCCAAGGACTGTGTTCACAGTCTGGGGGTACTCCTAGATTCATCGCTTTACATGACTAGTCAGGTGAATGCGGCAGTCAGGAGTGCCTGTTATCAGCTTCAGCTGATATGCCAACTGCGCCCTTATCTGGATATGAGGGATCTGGAAACTGTGGTACATGCTCTGGTAACCTCATGCGTGGATTACTGTAACACACTCTACATGGGGCTACCCTTGAGCCTAACACGGAAACTTCAATTGGTACAAAGCATGGCAGCCAGGTTAATTACCGGAACATCTAGGAGGGAGCATATAACACCTGTGCTCAAATCCCTCCACTGGCTGCCAATCAGTTTCCGGGCACAGTACAAGGTGTTGGTTTTAACCTTTAAAGCCCTACATGGCTTGGGACCATCTTATCTCAGGGACCACCTCTCCCCGTATGATCCCCCCACACACTTTGGTCCTCTGGGAGGAACCTGCTACAGCCCATGAAGACCAGGCTTCCGCAGACCATCCATAGGGCCTTTTCTGTGACTATGGAATGTCCTGCCGGATGAGATCCGTCTTACTACCACTCTTGCTGCCTTTAAAATGGCAGTAAAGATGGATCTCTTTTTGCATGCCTTCCCAGAACAACTGCCCAGCTAACTGGAGGTGATCTACTTTTACCCCTCTTGCTGCTACGACATGCTAGCCAAAAATTGATTTTATTGTATTTTAATTGTGTTAATCTGATTTTAATTCCATTCCAGTTTAATCTAGTTTTAAGGGTGGGTGGGCTAGGGTGCGGGATGAAGGTATGTTTTAACTGTTGTTTTTTAACCTTGCTGTACATCACCCCAATTGCTGAGCAGAGGGGCAGGTTACAAATAAATTATTATTATTATTATTATTATTATTATTATTATTATTATTATTATTATTATTTTCTTGAAAATCAATTTCCCTTTATTTCTTCTTCCCTTTCTGTTATGACTTCATGCCTGTGTCTCACTAAATTATTCTAATTTCTTAAATTATTTTAAACTATTAAATTTAGTTTATTCAATAGCACAATGAAGTCTGGTGTGTGTGTATATGTGTGTGTGTTGAAAGGATCCCAATAAATACAATCCTTCACCATTCCTCAAGGAAGAACAAAACCGATATTGTACATATGGTTAAATCAATCATATATAAAATTATATAAATGATTCAATATCTTTTTCTTGTGATATTTTTCCATGGTGTAGGAGCATACAGATGACACTACACAAAAGAATCTTGATGCAATCCATATCAAGATTACTGTTTTGCAGTGTTCTATCTCTATTGCCATGAGCATCATTAAACATGGTTGAAGGGAGATGAAAATGAACTGAAAACTGAAAAAAGTACACACATTCCCGCTCTGGAATAAAACATTTGTTCATTCTGTTGTTATTTTAAAAAGAAAGAAAGAAAGAAAGAAAGAAAGAAAGAAAGAAAGAA